GTATGTTTGTTTGTTTATTTTAGAGGAGAAACAGTTGCAGATGATGCAAGGATGTTTCACTGACTCCAAAGTAAAGACCCTGTTCTTTCAACTCCTCTAACTTCATTTTGATCCCACTTTTCCAGGCCAGAAGTTGAACATCCTGTTTGTGTGTATCCGGTTTTCCCTCTCACTCTGTTCTGTAGCACTAAGGGATTCTACAACTTCCTGAATGCTACCAGACTTTATTTTTGGTGGCTTCTTGATTTGTTTGTTTTAATACTGCGCTGTCCAGCTGGCAGTCTTTGGGATTACGTTGCAGCCTCTGGGCTCCTGCCCAGCCTCCAATCCCCACATCATTCCAGATGCAATAGCAGCCAGAGACTCTGGGCTCCCCCCCACCTTTGGCTGCTGCTTCCTGCCCCAGGGGGTGGGCACTTTAACAGGATGGGAGCTGAGGGTGAGCCTGGGGCACATGGTGCACTGGGTGGGTGCAGGTTGCAGTGGGGGGGTGAGTCTTGGGCCTGTGCTATAGCAGTGTGGGGGCCGTGGCCTACCCTGCTGCAGCCTGTTGGCTGTGTAGCTTCTGGCTATTTGGAAGTTCAACAGCCCTGTTTTAATAAATAAGATGGATAAAGCATGGAATAAAAATTTACTGTTGGTGGATAAAATTCCATGTAAAAGAAGAAGTTTATATGGCACATGGCCACACACAGTGTGTTACATCACTCTATATTTGTTGGATAGTAAGTAAGTGACATCTGATCTTGGTTGTCAGGAGTTTTATTTTTAGCTGTAAAAAGGAAACAAGTGACTTGTGGCTGCTATCATAGACTCTTAAGAATTGTGAAAGACCGTTTTGTCATCTCCAAGTGAATTAAACAGAAAAAAAAACAAATTAAACCTTTCCAGCTGAGCACTGGCTAGTACTGAAAAACACAGGTTTGCATTGGTTTTATCTGCTCCACCTGACATGACCTGATTTTATTCCTGACTTAATATATATTAAAACATATGTCAAGAATATGTCCACCTTTCATTTCAGCCACTGTTATTTTCACTGTTGGTCAGAACAGTATTCTAGAATTACATACATGTATTCTTTCTCTATCTCCCCCCTTTCTCTCTTCCTCCTTTTTTGGCTAAAAATTTAGCGTAATCCCTAGTGTTGCTACATTATAAAAATGCCTCAGCTTTATTTGTGCCCTATAGTAAGCTATGGAATGGAAAGAAAAAACTTGAATTATTAAATAATTAAACAAAAAATCCCTTTGCCAGTAATAAACCCAGGATAACCTGGCTCGCGTCTCTCAAGTCTCTTTCGCTCTTTTTTTTTTTTTTTACTTGACATGTAGAGCCAGCCAGCTATGAGGCAGTGACTAGCAAATCTGCTGGCACAACTTTCTTGTAAGTTGAATAGCAGTTCTTTTAAAAGAATGCTGGCCCTCGTTCAGTTTCCCTAGCAAGTCGAAATTCTGTTATCAATAAAATAAGCACATTGGGAGAAATACTACCTGGTAATATTATTGATGTCCCCTCAAAGTCAGTGGGGGTTTGGCAGTCTCTCTCTCTCTCTCTCATATTGACTCCACACTCATTATACCTTTTAATATACTTCTAGTTTTCTAGAAAAAACGTTTATTTTATCTAGCTTATCTAGGGCCTAAATAGTTCTGGAGCTTTGATTTTCACGTAGAGCATGCATTTGTCGGATTTTTAGGTTTGAAGTGGCTTGACTGAACATTGTTTATTTTGTAAAGTTACACTTGCAGCACGTTCTTATTTTTCCCATTTACTGGCGACATTTCTGGAGCTATCTCTTCCTGAAAGTGTTATGGCTTTGTGATTAAAATCATCTACGGTCTAAGAGAGATTTTAATGGGTAAATTAGCATGTGTGATTCAGTATACTGCTTTTGTTTTCAAAAAGCAGAAATGATCACCATTCATGAGTGGTACTTTATACAATGACAATTTGTGTGTGTGAGATCAATAAGTATTAATACTAGTTTTTCTGTAATAGCATACTTTATTGTAATATTAATTAAGCTGACTATTTTGATCTGTTATTATTTCTAGTCCATATTTGTTGATCATAGAATGTCTCTTCATTTTTGTGGATTAAGCTGAGGGAGAATAAACCTGTGTCAAAATTGAACCAGCTGCCTGATAGATTTCTTTTCTTCAGGCTACAGAAAGTGAGATGGGAGATGTAGATTTAACAGGACTCCCAGAAGCACCTGTGGACTCTGAAGATGAAGAGGAGGAGGAAGATGAAGATATTGACAGAACTTCAGATCCATTATTAGGACGAGACGTTGTACGAGAGTGCCTTGAAAAAGAACCTGCAGATAAAACGGATGATGACATTGGTGAGAAATAAAAAGATCTTGATTTGGCATTCAGTATTATAATCCAGATAATAGACATTTTTTAAAAAAGTGTGTGAGCACGTTATTAATAAAACCATAGCCTCATAACTTTTCGTGGTGTATCTTGGAGATCTTTCTGCTCTAAAGAGTTTATAACCTAACTAGATTATTTGTCTTTGATCTCTCATATTGGGTATAGAAAGCAAGATACTTCAAATGTTAGGGCTGAGATATTGCATTAAGTAAATTGATGATTACAGTTTGGTAATGAGGGAGGCCTAAAGTAATTCTGACTATGTGTAACTGCTGGATTTGTTACCAAATCCTAGTGAAGGCATCATATTATCATAGGACAGAAAGGCTGACTTAAATTGCAGAAGATTTGAGCCAAAATGACAGTTCTACAAGCTGTAAGCTAGAGCTGGCGGTTGTTTAGCACTAATATGAAGACTAGGACTGTTTAGACTTTTCCTGTAATTATTTTCCTACACTTTGGAAAAAAATAGTTTGTTGTTGCCGATATTAACAATCTAATAATAACCATGCAGTTGGGATATATTATAATGTTTAAATTGCTCAAAGTTCAAGTGTTTCTCTGCTTAGCTAGATTGATGCCTTAATAGTCAATCAGACTGAAAAGCCCAGTTCCATTTATTGCTGTTAAAATGCATACTGTGCTCATTTAGCTGCAGGCACTAATAGGGATTGAAATACCACTGAGCAATTCTTTCAGTGAGTTTAACTCTGAGGTTTGATATACCTGTCAGGGGGTTGGTACCTTAGAGGCTCCAGGCCTTGCAATCTTCATGTCAATATTTCCTTTATCTAATAGAGCAATTACTGGAATTTATGCATCAGCTCCCAGCTTTTGCAAACATGACCATGTCTGTGAGAAGAGAGCTTTGTTCAGTTATGATATTTGAAGTGGTAGAACAAGCGGGAGCCATCATACTGGAAGACGGACAAGAAGTAAGTTATTGCATCTACCTTAATGATGATTCATGTGTCTTGATCCTCAGGACTTTTAACATGTTGAAATCATGATATATAATGGTATTAATTTGTATTTATAGTAGATAAACATTAGTATGCTGTTAGCAGTTGAAGTACTAACCACCTCATAAAAACTCTTTCAAAATTTTATTTTTCATCCTATAAAAGAAGAGGTCATTTCTGGCATTAAAAATAAATAAGGTCTCTTGTTCTTTTGGTGCAGTAAACTTTCAAAACACATTTTGACCTCTTGTGAAATTTCTATTTATTATGGATTGATGGAGTCATTTAGATCTTTCCACATATCTGAGCATCCAGCTGTCCTGTTTTAACAGGTATATTTAAAAAAACATTGCAGAAGAGCATGGCCTTATTGTTAGAGGTCTACTTCGTTTATAGTTTTGCGGTTTTCACAGAAAACGCGACAAATGGCATTGTCCATGATTGCCAGGAAATAGTGCATCACCTGTGATTTCCCATGAAATCAACTAAAAAAAGCCCCAGTGTATTATTCATATAATATTCTGTTTTAGAATGTCCCAATGCTTACTGCAATATAAAGACAGCACTACAATCACTCTAGCCATAGATCGTGTGATTGAGAGTTACTGTCTGCTAGTGAGATAGACAAAGCGAACGCACCAGTCAGGGAAGTGATAGTGTTTTTATGGTTAACATTAATTAGTATGTCTAATTTTTGGAAGACTGTTACATATAATAATGAATTATGATATAAGTCACTATTTATATTGTATATACATTTATATTTATAATATATTTACATTTAGTTTTGAAAGTTAATATTTAGATTTATAATAATATGATGCATTATATGATATAATTTACTTTTTGTAGAATTTGCCGTTATCTAGTATATGCCTCTCTGCCAGTCAGTGGCGAGGGGTGGGGCCCTCGGGGAAATGCCTGCAAAATCAGCTTCCCATGCTGCAGCCAAGCTGCAAAAATTGCTTCGTCTTGCTGCGAGTTAAGGAGACCCCTATTCATTGTCAAAGGGATCACAGGACGTGCAGATGTTTCAAAATGTTTAGTCAGACAGGAAAACGGGGCCCATCATTTTTTGTAGTGTCACTCCTCCACAAATCAATATCTGGAAATTGTGTAATGGGAAATAAATTCGTATTTGATTCCTCCTTTACTTACTGTTTATAAGACGATGGACGGCATACATTATAAAGAAAGGACTGTTATGACATTGTAAGAACAATGTGTTTTCTCCTATGTGGGTTAATTTTTCTGAGAGATGAATAATGAAACGTCTTCTGTACAAAATTTGCTGAGTCGCATTTTTTTAATTCCCTCTAGCTTGATTCTTGGTATGTCATTTTAAATGGCACTGTGGAGATCAGCTATCCAGATGGGAAAACTGAAAATCTCTGTATGGGAAATAGTTTTGGGATTACTCCTTCTCTGGAAAAACAGTATATGAATGGAGTGGTTAGAACCAAAGTAGATGACTGTCAGGTAAGTTTTACACATGCATATAACCCTCTTATGAACTTAAGGTTCAAAAATAGTCTGTTTTCATCTAATGCAATTACCTTTTTCTAGAAATAGAATAAAGAAAATTTCTACCTTGTTTTGTTAATCTTAGGCTAGTTGCAGTTTTCCTTCTTTCTTTTGGTAGTTCAGATTTCTTTTCCGTTTGCTGTCACATGAGAAACAGGAACTATTTGTGCTGAAGTAATTGGCTGTTAAAGGACCCTAGTCATGCTGTTTGTGCATTTGAAAGGCAGCAAGAACAGTTAAATAGAAAATATACATCTCCACTTTTTAAAGAAGTAAGTTCTTTTCTAGGACTGCTTCTTAAGGAGCCCAACAAGAGTACAGTATACCATTTTGTTAAATATACTATCCTATAGTAATTTCACTTGTATTCCATAATTTAATATCTACTGGAACTAGACAGGACAGAACTGGATTGATGTCAAATGGTAAGTTAGCACTGCTGTATAACATGGGTCTGGGTTTGGTGTGTGGACATGTGCTTACCTACTACAGATTTGTTAAGTGTTCCCATGTCTTTCTGGCACAGTTTGTATGCATAGCCCAGCAAGATTACTGGCGCATTCTGAACCATGTGGAAAAAAACACTCATAAAGTTGAGGAAGAAGGAGAAATTGTTATGGTAAAGGAGCACAGAGAGCTGGATCGCAGTGGAACCAGGAAAGGACACATAGTTATTAAGGTGACTTTACTTTACTTGCTAAATAATTTTCTTGTCAATTTATTACATTTTAATTTATTAAAAATATGGTAAGAACCCAGGACAGATGTTCAGTTTTATCTATTCTAAAACAGTGTGATTAGGAAGGATTTAGATTTTCATGTAAATATACTAGCAGTTCCTTGTTAATAAAGTAGGGCCTGTTCAGCAAATATTTTTTTGATTGTGTTTAAAAAATTATACTGTTTTTATAGCTACTGTCTATATATGTTGTATTGGTTTAGAAGAGGGACTTAATTGTTTTTTTTACCTAGGAACTGTACTCGTTTGTTGTAGCAACATGCTACTCCTACGAAGGGCACTTTTATATGTGCTCCGGGAGGGGTTATGCTTTAATTAGAGCAGCTCTCGGAGCTGCTCTAATTAAAGCACTGTCATGTGTCATATCAGCGTCCCCATGCTTAAAAATGGCTTGTTCAAGTGCCCCTGCTGCCATTTTTAAGTGCATGGATGCTGATACACGAGACACAGGAAACTGCTGAAGCGCAGAAATTGCCATGCTCCAGCAGATTTGATTAATTGGGTCTGTTCTGACACACTGGAATTCCACGTGCCAGAGCAGCCTCCACGCTTGTGTATAGACACCAAAAGTGTCCAGGAAGAAAGAAATGGGAGAACTGGATATAACCTGTGTTTTGATTATCTCTTTCTAAGAGCTTATCAGGCAAAGAAAATGTTGTAGGATTAGGAACTGTGTATCATTTTCTGAAACCCCCTTGTTTTTTTTATTTTTAAGGCAACACCTGAGCGACTCATCACACATTTAATAGAAGAGCATTCCATCGTTGATCCAACTTACATAGAAGACTTCCTTTTAACATACAGAACATTTCTCTCAAGCCCCTTGGAAGTTGGGGATAAGCTCTTGGAGTGGTTTGAAGTAGATAGCCTCAGGGATAAGGTTTGTTTATGACTTACAGATAAATATTCTTGCAGAAAATTTCTCAAACACATCCTCATTTGTAGAGCTGCTAAATCATGATGGTTCCAAAATAATCAAAGCATAATTTATTTAAGAATGATGTATGATTTCAGTAGCATCAGGAAGCATTCTTTCATGTTGTTGCAGGCATGTAATATTTGATTTCAAATTCTGATACACCCGTGTAGCTCTTTACAGTATATGGTCTCTGATTTTAAAATACAAATGCCATCATGTCTCATGGCATCCAAATCTAGACCTATGTCGATGAATTTTACATGGCGCAAATATTTTGCTATATTGTCCTATATTTTGAGTATAAATAACACACTGAGTCCTCTTAGAAAAAACTTTTCTATTAGCATATAATTTCTTGGGCATATCAGTGTTTCTTTCATGGCGATGCATTGCATCTGTCTTCCACTTTATTTGCGGAATGCAGCTTTTAAATGCATCAAGCATTTTTGTATGACCATGATACCACCCATTAGGGCAACTAATAAAAGTACTTTTGGAAATGGAGATGTGACTGTAGCTGTCATGTAACTGTACTCTTGCATAGGAAAAAGTTATGCAGTCTGGGGTTTTAGTTTATAGCCTATTAGTTTAAAAGGTGGCAATAATGCTCTAGTTCTATTTCATCATTTATATACTAGATTTGAGCTAAAACAAAAACAGCAGAATAATGAAGGAGCCAGTTTCTAAAATTGCACACTTTTCCTGTGCCTTACAGCTGTGTTTCATATAGTTGCTTCTTTCTGCTGTTCACTTTGACAGTCACCATCACTTATTTAAAAAAAAAAAAAGAGAGAGGAAAAAAAAGAAGAAAAAATGCAGGTCTACAAAAAACTTTTGAAATTAACTTCTGTTTTATATTAGTTGATACTCAATTGACAGGATGTTCTGAAACAGCATATACTTAAAAGAAGTGTTTCCTCTCAATATACTACTTTTAAAAATGAACTGAAAGTATAGGGATAGAGAATGCAAATTACTTCTTATCAAGCCATGGCTTCAACACCATTTTTTTGAAAGTGGGAATTTAGCACTGTTAAATGGCAGCATTTATGTATTTATTTATTTTTGACTTGCAAGGGAAAAAGCTATCTCAGCAGATAAAACAGGAAGGAATACATTTTTTTAAAGAGTGAAATTGCTGTCGTTGTTAAACTTTTGTTTAATGGGGATTTTTGAGCAATTAACAGATTTATTATATTATGAGAGTTTTACGAGAATTCTGTAGCACAGTGAAAGGCATTATCAAAAGTTAGTGACAAAGCTTTCAGAATATAATGTTTTATTATTATAGTGTATTTCCTAGAAATTATTCTTAAAGAAATGATCCTTCACTGTGACAGTGAATGAAAGTTTAAGGTTCCTGCATTAAGCAAAGACAATTACAAATAAAAGGTGAAAAGATAAGTGTAGGTTCAAGAAAAATAGTAATACAGGCCATCAGATCCAATTTGATTTTCCCTTATTTCATCATTTTAATTGTGCAGTCAAGAAAAAAAGTAAAAATGACCTGTTTATGGTTTTCAGTTTTGAAAAGACTGTGAACTTACTGCTGAAACCACTGGAATGTCAGATTTGTTTAGAGTAGGGCAGTCAACCAATTAAAAAAATTGATCACAGTTAGTTGCACGATTAAAACATTAGTCACAATTCTATTGCAATTTTAATTACACAGCAATAAACTCAGAATTTATGTGCAGAAAAACTCAGTGATGGAGGTACTGTGTATGGTTGGGTTGTGGGTGGCGTGTGTGGGGGTGGAATTTGTGAAGGTGTTGGGGGGGCTGTGGGTGTGTGGGATTTAGAGTCTGGGGAGGGGGGGTTCCCACATGCTCTGGCAGGATGTGGGGTACTGTAGGTCAGGAGTGAGGGGCAGCAGCAGGGCTGGGATGGGGCTGTGGCTTGGAAGTGAGGGGCTGACAGACACATGCACAGACACCACCCAGCAGGTAAGTCTGTGTGGGGGAATGGGTGTGGGAGAGGGAAGGGGTGTGTGGGAGCAGGGGCTGGGATAAATGGGGCCCCAGAGCTGGGGCGGGTCATGGGACGGAGCCATGGGTGGCTTATCCGGGGCGTGGGGGGCTCCCATTGCTGCGCACACCTTGCGGGGGAGGCATGGGGAGCATGTACCCTCAGAATTCATGTGCAGGCCATAGGTGGGCTCCCTGCTGCCTTTATCCCGGGAGTCTCTTGCTGGCTGCGCCTGGTCCCTTACCTGCCTGGTGGTGGGAGGCACAGCATGGCATCGTGTGGCTCCCCAGGCAACAGCAGTGGGGAGCAGAGCCCACTGCGGAGTGGCAACCTGCCTCTGCCCTGTGTGCTAATCTGGGGAGCATGTGCCCCCCAGACCTCCCCTGGGGGTGTGCACAGTGGCCCAAGCGCCCCTGCACTCCTGGACAAGCTGCCCATGGCTTCATCCCACAAACCACCCCAGCCCCTGTCCCTGCTTCTGTCCCACTCCCTCCCTCCCTCACCATGGGGACCTCAATCTGCACCCCGCACACCCCTCCATGCCCCTTCCCCTTCACAGATTTATCTGGCGTGCGCTACTCCACATGCTGCTGGGCTGCGTTTCTGGCCATATGCAGCTGCATGTCTGTGCATGCCCCTCCTTACCTGCTGCAGCCCCCCAGAGTCCATGCAGAGCAGCGCAGAGGCTGCGGTGATGGTGGTGGAGCGGAGACTGAATGCAGGATCCAAAACCATGCGCACGATTAATGCACTAAAAAAATTAAGGCGAACAACGATTAATGCCTTAGTCACAATTAATTGACGGCCCTAGTTTATAGCATATACATCTTGTCATGTTTATATCTTAATATTAATTATTAAACCAAACAAACTACTTCCCCCGTCCTCTCCCTCCAAAACACCAACAGGAACCACAATTAAAACACCTTTGTGTCAATGTTATTTTTCCAGGTTACCAGAGTGGTCTTATTGTGGGTAAACAATCATTTTAATGATTTTGAAGGAGATCCTGCTATGACGCGTTTTCTGGAAGAATTTGAAAAAAACTTGGAAAATACGGTAGGTTTATAAGTAATCAGTATCTTGCCTTGTGGTGATTGGTGTCTTATTTTTTATCTAGTTTAAGAATATAAAAAAGAGTTTGGTTACATGGTGACAATTTATAGGCACCTTTAACAGAAACATATTTGTTCTAAATCATAACTGATTGTCTCAAGTCCAGGAGTAAAATGATGTAGACAGTATTCATTTTTCTGCCTCTGTGGTTTTTCAAGAATCATAGAAAATTAGGATTAGAAGGGACCTCAGAAGGTCACCTGGTCTAACCCCTTGCTCAAAGCAGGGACATCACCAACTAGATCATCCCAGCCAAAGCTTTGTCTAGCTGGGTCTTAAAAACATCCAAGGACGAGGTTCTATAACTTGAGTAACCTGCTTCAGTGTTTACTATCTTCCTAGTTAGAAAATTCATCCTCATATCTAATCTGAAGTTCCCTTGCTGCAACTTGAGACCATTGGTTCTTGTTGTGTTATCTGCCACCACTGAGAACAGTCCAGCTCCATCATCTTTTGAACCCCTACTTCAAGAATCATA